TTAACTTTGGGTGTGGTAGTTGCGTTGGAGACAGCTTCTACACCTTAAACAAATTCACACCTAGGTGGCCCTTGGGCCGGCCATCCTCGTTACACGAGGGGCAACCATTATATTATTATAGTAGTAGTAGTGGTGTTAGTAATAATAATGAGTATTATAGTTAAAATAAACACGCCAGCATATTATGATAAAGGTTATAATTATATATTAGTAGTAGTGGTCATTTTTATTGTGGTTTTTAAACAATATTATTATTTATCAACAATATTGAGAAACTCGTAATTTAATTTTTATATTTCTTTGTATTATTAAACCTCTTTCATCCAGATGTACCTAGGGTTTTTTTCTTTTGCTGTTACGTGTGTGTGTGTGTGCGGTAATGTGTGTTAAAAGCGTGCCTTTGTGTGTGTATGTATGAATGCTGCGAAGAATTAAAAAAAACCCGAGACAACAAGTAGAGTGTGTGTGCACGTGAAGTTACAAGACGCTGGGTATAATCTTGTTAGATACTGTCCGTGGAGTCATCGTCATGCCACAAGTGCATTACCGCTGTACGAGGGTTATTGAGCGTGACTGTGGCGGCCGCTGCTGCACGACCTCAAGTATGATAATGATTGGTTGTCTCGTCCTTATGGTTATTGCTGCCTGCTGGATGCCTGATAATGATTGGTTGTCTCGTCCTTATGGTTATTGCTGCCTGCTGGATGCCTGATAATGATTGGTTGTCTCGTCCGTATGGTTATTGCTGCCTGTTGGATGCCTGATAATGATTGGTTGTCTCGTCCGTATGGTTAATGATTGGTTGTCCCTTAAATGAATAATATTTTTTTTGTTTATCTTTCGTCGCTTCAGCAACAGTAGATGCAATGTAATTAGATGTTGTTTATAATGCCTACTTGAGCAACACCAGATCCATGGGTATTGTTTTGAGTGTTTATGATTTGTTTGATATTGCAGCAGAATATTTACGATCATTAATTATTGTCTTATTGTCATTAATATTTGTAAAGACCAAATAGACGATAATTATTGGTTTTCTTCCACGTTTCATCAAAAAATACCTAAGGACAATTTTAATCTTGTTTAATTCTCACTAGACTAAGACACAGCCAGAGTTAGTGGTTCTTTTTTCTTTGACATGGAGTATAATGTATCGTCGGAAGAATGAGGATTAATCTTACTTAATATCTGCAGTTATTGGTGTAGCGTGATGGTGGATGATGGTGATTCCTCTTACTGTTGTGGCTGGTGGTGATAAATGGTGTTCTGTGATGGTGATTAATCTTTTTGTTTATTAATGATAGTTCCAGATACTCCACAGTGTGAGTATTAGGTTGTCTCATTGTCGTCTTCTTCAGAGAGCAACATGACTGATTAATCTTTTGTTCACCTACTATTGTTTTACTATATATACGATGCTATTGGTCATGTCACTGTCATAGTCATTAGGTCTTGACCAGATGAAGGATAGCTTATATATGATTGTCTTTAATATGTCTACTAGAAAGTATCGACTATAAAGTTAACCCAAATTCTCTCTCGACATTTGGCAATATCTGGCATCGGCTTTTGGATCTTATCTGTGAATGGTTGGTAGCTGGTGATCACTACTGTTAGTTGCTGTATGTCAGATTAACTATGAAAAGGAACTCTAATAAGTGTGAAATTAGAGTTTAGACTTTGTGGTGTCATTCCTCCTCATACCTATATGACCCTCAAGTTGATACCAGGTGTTGCCAGAAGTAATTTGGGTATGTTGCTGAAGGCAGGTTAATATAGAGATGTGCTGTGTGATGTTTGATGATGTCTGCCTGCCCGGTTACTGGGTACACGCACATGCACTTACATCAGGTGTACATCCATCCAATGTACACACGCAGACACACGCAGACACACACACACACACACACACACACACACACACACACACACACACACACACACACACACACACACACACACACACACACACACACACACACACACACACACACACCACCCACCACTGAGTCCCACACTGGCTCAACTTTCATCAATCCCCTCCTCCTCTCCTCCAATTCCCCTTGTACACACACACACACACACACACACACCGTCTTAGTAATTAAATGTTACGTCATGTAAATTTATTAGGGTGTCTGATACAAGCACCACCACTGTCCGGTTTGCAGTCACCACCACTTCCACGCCTCTGTGTTGTTCGACTTGTAAACAGGGCTTTGTGTTGCTAAATGTGTCTTGTTATGTTGCTGTAAATGTTGGTTTGCTATAAAATGTGTGTTTTTGCATATAGCTGTATGTGTTTTTTGTTGCAAGTGCTTGATGTGTATTATTGCTCTAAATGCATGCTTTAATGTTTAAGTGTGTGTGTGTGTGTGTGTGTGGGTGTGTGTGTGTGTGTGTGTGTGTGTGTGTCTGCGTGTGTCTGCGTGTGTACATTGGTGTAAGTGCTTGCTGCGTAGGTGTTGCTTCACGTGTTTCCAGCTGTAATTACTTTCTGCCATCACCAGCCTTTCAACCACCCACCTTAATACCAGGCCTTTGTGTGTGTGCGCGTGTGTGTATGTGTGTGTATGTGTTTGTGTGCGTGTGTGTAATGCTGTGATGAAGCTGTGGGGGTTCTAGTGTGTTTCTGTGAGTCCCTGTAACTCGCTTTTAATGTCTGTGTTGCTATAAAATCGTATAAATTTTGCTGTGAGTATTACTATGGCGTGCTGTGAGTATTACTATGGCGTATTGTGAGTATTACTGTGGCGTGTTGTGAGTATTACTATGGCGTGTTGTGAGTATTACTATGGCGCATTGTGAGTATTACGATGGCGTGTTGTGAGTATTACTATGGCGTGTTGTGAGTATTACTATGGCGTGTGCTGTGAGTATTACTATGGCGTGTTGTGAGTATTACTGTGGCGTGCTGTGAGTATTACTATGGCGTGTTGTGGCTTGCTATTAGTGTGCCTGTCTGAGTAATAGCAATATTTATCTCCGTGGTCAGTGTCAATTGTTACGAGCCCAACTAAGCAAGTAAGATTGATAGAATCCATTTTTCACATTCCTAGACGTTTTGTAGTCTGTGTGTGTGTGTGTGTGTGTGTGTGGGTGTGTGTGTGTGTGAGGGTCAAATTGTAAAAGGAAAATTATTAGTGAAGGGTCAAAATTTGATTGGTCATGTCTTTGAAATGCCGTGTTGTAAGCTTATACCGCTGGAACATTAACAATGGGACCATTTTTTTTTTAGGTTTTAACTACACTAATCTATTAAAGAGATGAAGTTTCGGTCTATTTATAACAGTTGTTCGTTACATAAACAAATGAGTTCAGTTTGTCCCTTATCATTCTTCCTGACGACGATGCAATTTACCCGAGTCATGTGTTGCAGTTGTGGAAGACAGTGTATTGTTAACAGGTGTGTACATTTGGTTAGGTTTGGTAGTGTTGGAGAGTTACGTGGTATGTTGACTTATATGGTCAGGTATGGAGGTAATGTTTGGTTGATGTTTGGTTGATGGGGATGTGTGTGTGTGTCTGTGTGTGTCTGTGTGTGCGTGTTGGAGGGTGAGGAGGGGAGCGTGAGGCCCCCATACACACCGTAGGGGGAGGCGAGGCAGACCTTGGACTATCAGGAACACAGATCAAGGCCACATACTTCCTGCTACCACCACCACCACACCACTACCATCACAATTCTACCACACAAGCACTATACACCACATCTGTCGCACCTAATCAGCTGGTGGGTTTAGGAAGATACACATACCACAACACAGGTGAATTTATATATATATTTTTATGAGCGTCACCTTAATGATACTGCATTAGTAATTATGGTCCATTGAAGACTATTAATGTCTTCTATTAACTCACAAATCCCCCAAAACAGTATCGTGCCTCCTGGTGGGTGGGTTGGTAGTGTGGGTGAAGGGAGGGGAGCAGTGTAAGGCTAAGTAGCGCTGCGTCACCTTTTTGTCATTAGCTCGCGGAGGTGGGAGAGTGATGGTTAGTCTTACCCCCTACCCCCTCTCCCTCCCTCCCCTCTTCCCCCACAATCCCTCTCCCCCCACCACCCCTCTCCCCATCCGTTCCCCTCACCCCTTCCTCCATCCCTTTCCCTCACCCCTTCCTCCATCCCATCCCTCACCCCCTTCCCCTCACCCCTTCCTCCATCCCTTTCCCTCACCCCTTCCTCCATCCCATCCCTCACCCCCTTCCCCTCACCCCTTCCTCCATCCCTTCCCCTCACCCCTTCCTTCACCCCTAGTAGTGCTGGTTCATTGTACGTCATGGCCTCCAGACCCTCCCAAGCTGCATTTATTGGGAGGAGGGAGGCAAGGACAATTTTCTGGGACACCCTGTATAAGTGTTCAGGGGTTACCAATACCCCCTCTCTTCCTTATGAGCGCCTCTGGTGACACTATACATGGAATGAGATATTAAATGACGCCTAATACTAGTAGTAGTTGTAATAGTAGTAATGATAATAGTTGTAGTAGTACCGGTAAAAGTAGTAGAAGTAATAATAATAGTAGTCGTAGTACTACTGGTAGTAATAGTAGCTGGAGATACAACCGTTGGTAATTAATTTCTGATAAACTACGATTAATCTGCAGTAAAGGGATATACTATTCTAAATCCCTTGAGTATAGTAAACTAAACCATTGCAAGACTACTGTGCTGTGAGTTAATCTCGTGAGTGCCTTGACTGTGTTTATCCCTTGAGTACTATGTGTTAACCCTAGGTCTGGCTTTGGATTTAATGTCTTCTGAAGTTTTGACCAGATTCCTTTAGTAACCCCCCCATTTTCTGTGTTACCTCCGTTTTCTGTAACTTCTTTTTTTTGTCACTTCCGTTTTCTGTGTCACTTCCGTTTTCTGTCACCGCTGTTTTCTGTGTCACCGCCGTTTTATGTGTCACTTCCGTTTTCTGTGTCACCCCCGTTTTCTGTCACCTCCATTTTCTGTGTAAATCCGCTCTCGGTGACAGTGGTATCGTGTTTTTCCAGGTTGTGGCCAAAAGCATGGTGGCGTCCCCTTCCTACCTCGACGTCGCCAGCACCAGCAAGCCCTCACACTCTACATCACCAACATATAGTAGTCATCAACAGTGCTGAGGTGAGTAGTCGGGGACGCTGTGAAGGTGTGTTCCTGTCTTGGTTCTTTAGGTAACATTGTGTATCTTTACTTTTCTTGTATCTTAACATTGTCTACGTTTACTTCTGTATGCAACTCTCTCTCTCTCTCTCTCTCTCTCTCTCTCTCATATCTTCTCCATGTGTTTATGCTGACCCTTTGAGAATGATGGTTTAACCGTTTAGCGAGTATAATTGACCTTTTAAAAGTTACAGTATACCTTAAACCAGAGCAAAATTATCGATTAAACCAACGTCTTCGAAGGTTTAACTAATTTCGTCTAATAAATTTGTAGTTTACAGCATTTTTTGTTCTCTAATATTTGTTTGTGTTAATAATCGTTTTGTATGTTAATTGTGAACGTTATTTATCTTTTATTAAAATTTCTAATGTTGTCTGGTGTTGAGCTGCCACGTGCCTAGAGGCTTTACACCAGGTTAAAAATATTTGAACTAATAATGTTAAACACTAAAAAATTTAATATATGTATCGAATAGATTTATGAAAATTACCAATATTTTTAATTGGTCAATGTGAACATAATTATGTTAGCTGATAGAAGATATATATTGTATGTGGAGATGATGCAAGCTTAAATAGAATACATCAAAGCGTTCAGCAGACGTAACAGAATGTAATGAAGACAAAAAAATTGAAATACGAAGGAAAAATAGACAAAAAAACACAACAAAGCGATGAACGGAAAGGCATGGCAAGAATAACATGAACAATGTATGGTAGTCACTAGGTTGGTTTAGGATGAAGGAACACATGGGAAGCAATATTTGGTGCCACTATAGCGTGCGGTCTACCTAACCTAACCCACCTCTGTCACGTTTTCTTTTTCTTGCATGACACTACCACATCGATGACAAGGCTCTGCTTCTTGCGGTGCGTCCAGAAGATTGTTTTCACGTAAAAATGCAACCGCGGTTTCTTCTGTGAAGATGACACCTGTGTAGAAATCTTTCAAGATCATTGTAGGGGTAAAATGTGTTAGACTGATGTTCTCGGCTTAAATTTTAGGAGAATACTGATGTTTGTCTTCGTTGATCCCCCTTCTATAAGGTTGGTTAGGGTCCTGGTGTTTAGGTAGTCAGGTCAGGTCCGTAGACTACGGATATTGCGGTAGACCGCACGCTATAGTAGCGCCCAATATTTATACCGGCCGGGGGGCTTACCTGTTGGCTGTTGTATCTCATTAAATAAACAGGACCTCCTGCAGTACCTCATGGTCAGGACCTCCTGCAGTACCTCATGGTCAGGAGCTCCTGCAGTACCTCATGGTCAGGAGCTCCTGCAGTACCTCATGGTCCAATACTGATTTGTTGTCAAGGATAAAAGGTAAAGACAAGTTACTCAGTTCAGTCATTGTTGTACTCGTGGGGTTAGGAGGTCTTCAGGACTAAGTTCATCGTACTTAAGAGATTTAGATATTGTACTCGAGGGGTTAGGACTTAGATCATAGTACTCAAGGGATTAACATACTTTACGATGGTCTAATTCGTTGTACTCAAGGCCAGGGGGTTGGTATCGTACTCAATAGGCCAGTTAATTGAGATTCATGTTTTTTTATTACTAGATGAATCAATGTTTTCTCGCAGGGGGCCAAATTGAACCTGTCCTGACGTTACTTGAATCGGGGTGTCGTGTGAGAGGAGGGGGGGGTGGTAGGAGGGAGGGAGGGGAGACTCGGTTAATATATCGTTCTCACGCTACAAAGTTCCTGAATGTGGGGGAAGATGGGGAATGGATTTGGGGAGATGATTGAAGCAAGTTGGGTGTGTGGCCATAAGGGAGTGAAGCAAGTTGTGTGTGTTGCCAGTGGGGAATGAAGCACGGTGTGTGTGGGGGTGTGGGGGGGTGTGGGGGTGGGGGTGTGGGGGTGGTGGGGGAGTGAATATCGTCCCTTGTTAGTTGTTTTCCCTCGCCTTTTATGGTTAAGTCTTTTGATGGCAGCGAAAATGTCGTCATTTTTACCTTTCGACTCTACCGTAACCTGACTGTGGGCCAAGTTAGGTCATGAGTGATAGATAGGTTAGGTCAGGTTAGGTCATATTGGCTATTACTCTAATGTTATGGACTAGAAAATATTGTTATATACAAGGAAAGTTAAATACACTATAGAAGAAAACCGTTGTGCCTGTGATACCGCTACTGTTCACGTTGTTGTGTTTATGACAGTATGATGTATGGTTTAATGATGTGTTTAGAGACGAGGTAAGATGTTTTTTTCCGTCTGCCGACCGACGAAGATGCTGTCCGTCTGTCTAATTGTCTCTCTGTTCGTCTGTCTGTCCGTGATTATACTCATGTACAGTACAGTCCTCGTTACTAGTGCGTTTACAGGGGCTCATTATATAAACATTCCACAAATCAATACATTGGGATATTTGTTTTCATATTGTTTTACTTTGATTCCATTGTGTATTTACTATTACGAGTTTTCCTCTGTTGAATGTTAACAAACACGACGCTGCCACACTGCACAATGCCTGACGAGCTCCTGTAAACGCAGTAGTGGAGGGGACTGTACCTTATCTCTCTACCTCTTAGCTTGTGGCAGTACATACATGGCAGCTGGAAGAACCTGCTTTCCGTAATTTTAAATAGCTGTTGTCTTGTGTATTGACCTTCATGGATTACGTGTTTAAACGCCCTAGTAGTTGAAGCACAGAAACCTAACCTAACCTAACCAAACATGGTGGCTGAGCAGAAAGGAGGGGAAATTTGGACTTTAAATAGTGCTTGAGTTTTCCTGCCTCGGCGGTCCGTCAGTTACCGCAAAAAACAGTTGAAGGAATTTGGCGTCCAGGAGCGCGGAGGTCAACTACCTTCTCCTCCCCCCCCTTCCTCCTCCTCCCCCCTTCCCCCTCCTCCCCCCCCCTCCTCCCCCTTCCCCTCCTTCCCCCTCCTCCCCCCTTCCTCCTCCTCCATCTCAGCGTAACCTGACTAGAAAAATGTCTAATGCTTGTAAGTAAATTCCTAAGTGTATAATTACCTAAATACTTTCTCCACGTGTAAGAATTCAAGATTAAACAGTGGGTGTGGTTGGGCGTGTTGTGTGGGTGTATCGCTTGGGTGTGTTGTGTGGGTGTGTCGCTTGGGTGTGTTGTGTGGGTGTATCCTTGGGTGTGTTGTGTGGGTGTGTGTTGGGTGTGTTGTGTGGGTGTATCGCTTGGGTGTGTGTTGTGTGGGTGTGTTGCTTGGGTGTGTGTGTGTGGGTGTGTTGTGGGTGTGTGTCTTGGGTGTGTTGTGTGGGTGTGTCGCTTGGGTGTGGGATGTGTGGGTGTTTTTGGATGTGTTGCGTGGGTGTTGTGTGGGTGTGTTGTTGCGTGGGTGTGTTGTGGGTGGGTTGTTGTGTGTGTTGCGTGGTGTGTCCTTGGGTGTGTTGGTGTGTGTGGGTGTGTTGTGTGGGTGTGTCGCTTGGGTGTGTTGTGTGGGTGTGTCCTTGGGTGTGTTGTGTGGGTGTGTCGCTTGGGTGTGTTGTGTGGGTGTGTGTGTGGGTGTGTGTGCTTGGGTGTGTTGTGTGGGTGTATCGCTTGGGTGTGTTGTGTGGGTGTATCGCTTGGGTGTGTTGTGTGGTGTGTTGCTTGAGTGTGTTGTGTGGGTGTGTCGCTTGGGTGTGTTGTGTGTGTTGTGTGTCCTTGGGTGTGTTGTGTGGGTGTGTCGCTTGGGTGTGTGTTGTGTGGTGTGTCGCTTGGGTGTGTTGTGTGGTGTGTCGCTTGGGTGTGTGTGTGGGTGTATCGCTTGGGTGTGTTGTGTGGGTGTGTCGCTTGGGTGTGTCGCTTGGGTGTGTTGTGTGGGTGTGTCGCTTGGGTGTGTTGTGTGGGTGTGTCGCTTGGGTGTGTTGTGTGGGTGTATCGCTTGGGTGTGTTGTGTGGGTGTGTCGCTTGGGTGGTGTGTTGTGTGGGTGTGTCGCTTGGGTGTGTTGTGTGGGTGTGTGTGTGTTGTGTGGTGTGTCCTTGGGTGTGTGTGTGGGTGTGTGCTTGGGTGTGTTGTGTGGGTGTGTCTTGGGTGTGTTGTGTGGGTGTATCGCTTGGGTGTGTTGTGTGGGTGTGTCGCTTGGGTGTGTTGTGTGGGTGTGTCGCTTGGTGTGTTGTGTGGGTGTGTCGCTTGGGTGTGTTGTGTGGGTGTGTCGCTGTGTGTGGGTGTGTGTGTGGGTGTGTGTGCTTGGGTGTGTTGTGTGTGTGTGTCGCTTGGGTGTGTTGTGTGGGTGTGTCCTTGGGTGTTTTGGGATAGGTGTTTTGGATGTGTTGTGGGTGTATGTGTGTGGGTGTGTTGGTGGGTGTTGTGTGGGTGTGTTGCGTGGGTGTGTTGTGTTGTGTGCGTGGGTGTGTGTTGTGTGGGTGTGTCGCTGTGTGTGTTGTGTGGGTGTCGCTTGGGTGTGTTGTGTGGGGTAGTGTGTGCTTGGGTGTGTTGTGGGTGTAGTGGGTGTATGTTGGGTGTGTTGTGGTGTGTCGCTTGGGTGTGTTGTGTGGGTGTGTCGCTGGGTGTGTTTGTGGTGTGTAGTATGGGTGTGTTGTGGGTGTGTCGCTTGGGTGTTTTGGGATGTAGTTGTGCGGGTGTTTTTGGATGTGTTGCGTGGGTGTGTTGCGTGGGTGTGTTGCGTGGGTGTGTTGTGTGGGTGTGTCGCTTGGGTGTTTTGGGATGTAGTTGTGCGGGTGTTGCGTGGGTGTGTTGCGTGGGGGTGTCGCTTGGGTGTGTTGTGTGGGTGTATCGGTGTGTTGTGTGGGCGTATCGGGTGTGTGGGTGTGCCTTGGGTGTGTTGTGGTGTACTTGGGTGTGTTGTGTGGGTGTATCGTTTGGGTGTGTTGTGTGGGTGTGTCCTTGGGTGTGTTGTGTGGGTGTGTCGCTTGGGTGTGTTGTGTGGGTGTGTCGCTTGGGTGTATTGTGTGGGTGTGTCGCTTGGGTGTGTTGTGTGAGTGTGTTGTGTGGGTGTGTCCTTGGGTGTGTTGTTTGGTGTGTCGCTTGGGTGTTTT